ATATATATATATATATATATATATATATATATATATATATATATATAATGTAACAAGAAAGAAGTGTTATTAATAAAAAATTATTTTAATTAAAAATGCAATAATGTATTCCTATCTATATGATGTGTTCTAAGTCACTTTTAAGAAATGTTGAGCATGAATTTTTGGACATTAAGCAAGTTTTATGAGGTATCTCATTATACCCCGCATAAACAGCATTATAAGATTATTGCGCGCTTTCAATAAAACAATAATTTCGTGCTTTTAATCTATTTTTTTTCAATAAAACTTGTATTTTTTATAGTAAATATCCCAGAAAATATTTTAGTATAAAATCAAGTTGATTAATTTATTTTTAATATGTTTAAAACTTGCTTAAACCTATGTCCATTATGCCCCGGTTTCCCCTATATATAAGAAATATCTAAACAATTTATGTAAACATAATTTTGAAATTTATTACACAACTTTGAAACTTATTACACATGTTAAATTTTATAAGGCGGTCTTTACACTTACCTTGATGGTGCTACTTGCAATTGTCTTATCTAAAAACCACCAATTCGAATCTCTCACATACTTAATACTGATCACTTAACGCGTGGGCGTCTCACCTAATTACGCTCTTCTGTTATTCTCAAAATTTCTTCGAGCAAAATTCCACTCGGAAAATAGAGTGACAGTCGAATCATTATAGTAATTCACATAGAATAGATCTTTTCACTCTAAACTGTCAAATGAGTATTTTCAATTATGATTGAAGAATGAGAATCTGTGGTATTCCATCCGGAATAAATGCACTCTGATTAACTGAAATAAAAAATAAGTGTCCGGATTAGTGATAATTGTATCCTTTTTCTTAATAAATCAGTTAGTACAAGTCTATATTTATCTTGAAACGTATGTTCTTACTCCAAATTTTATATATTATCGGTTATAATAAATTTCAAATAAAATTAAAAATTATTGTAAATATATATATATATATATATATATATATATATATATATATATTTACTATAAAGTATATAAATATAAATATATAAATATATATAATATATATAATATATATATATATATATATATATATATATATATATATATATATA